TATTATTATATAATATATAGCATATAAAATGTTATTATATATTATTTATGCTGAGGTTATTTACATCTGAGTATTTATAGACTAGAAATACTATGTAATGCTACACATCTCTCCCAAAGTCTGCAGTCACTGACATCATGTTGGTGACTTGAAACTGGCCATGGTGGGAATATTTACTATAATCAGCAAAGGCTACTAATCAGGGATTCTTTATTTATTTGTTCCCAAAGAGCTGGTGGTTAAATATTTAACAGCATACACTGGATGTTTGATTTCTAAGCATTGTTTATCTGTAGAAACATTTAGATTGCCGTGTGTTTGCATCCCTTCTAGAAAATTCCACCATTGCTTTATGAGATGAATCTGTTGAATGTCCTGCTAACCTTAAGAAGTTCAGTAATTTTGGAAGAAAGGGTGCTCTCCTAAGCAGCTTTGGGAGGGAGAGAAATGCCTTAATGCTCTTTGCTGAAGGCGACCATCTTTAGCAATTCTGTTCAGCTCTGTGACCTGTTAGCCATAGAGTAATTAAAAAGAGGGCATCAGGCATGCTTCTTTACCCCAAAGAGAAAAAGAACCTCATTAATATTTAATAACATTAATGGAAACATCACTGGCTGCCCCCAAACTGTGGACTTCTTCATTAACTTCTGCTAAATGTGTATTAAAATCTCTCATACTGCCCCACCTCCATCCCAGCTCTGGAGTTCACATAATTTAGACAAACAAGCAGTTTCAGCGGCTGCTCCAGCTTCCTGGGGGAAAGGTGTTTTTCTGTTGAATTGTGAAGTCTTGAGTGACTGTGCCGGAAAGTTTGATTTGCCTCAGGGAAGTATGCTGCCACAGCTTCTGCAAACACACAAGCAGCTTCCTTCAAGAAATATCACCTCTGTGTCTTTCTTTAGAGGGTTTAGAACTTCTTTAAAAGTTTAAGTGGGAAGGTGTCCATTTCTAGGAACCTGTATGTCCAAATCTCATCCCAAGATCCAGGGAGGAGCCTTAGACAATTTAAGAAGAAATGACAGCTTCAGAAACCAAAAGGCCTCTGCATGTCAGAACAGGAAGGGACACTTGTATTCCCTGGGTCCAATCCCCTCTGTTGGTAGATTAGGAAGGAGGAGTAAAGAGAGGAGAAATGACTTGTTAGGGATTGTACATAACTGACAACGGCAGATGGAGATGATAATCAACTCTTGACCCCTGGTTCAGCATTAGTACAATCCCAAGGGGCACCCACTGCATCATCAGTAGAGGGCTCCTTGGTTCTCAGGAATGACACAGTCAGTCTCTTGGAGCCAGCCAAGAAGTCATCTGCTGGCCCAGCTCAGGGCTGTGCTACTCTCACTATGCATAGCCCCTCCTAGCCTCACAGACCCCCAGGTTCTCAATTCTCCCATTTGGCACTTGAGATTCCAAGATCAGTGTCCCACAGGTGCTTCTGTCTTATTTTAGGAGACAGCACAGCATGTGGGTTTGGGATCAAGCAGAGAGAGGTTTTCTGGTAGGCGCAGAGTGAACAGTCAACAAACAGAAACAACCTCAACAAAAACAATGGGATAATAACATCATTATCATTTAGCTAAGGCATAAGCCTAAATACAGCCATAAAGATAATTACATGCAGATCAGTTCAGAAACTGCTTGAAAAAACCAACAATCATGCCTCACATGTTTCTGCTAATTCAACCCCATGCTCTCATCTGCCCTTATTCCTCTTGTCATCAAGAACACATGCATATACCTGATTTCCCTAAAGTGCTGCCCATTTTTCTTGTACTTTCTCAGCAGGAAGTCTACACAGCCCCATCACCACCTCCTGCAGGAAACCTTCCATCATTATTCCAGTCCTCAGTGAACTCTCTATTCTGACCTTTTCTAACACTTTCTGCGATAATGGAACTGCTTTATATCTATGGTAGCCACAGCCACATGTCACAATGGAGCACTTGAAATATGGCTACTGCAAGTGGAGAACTGAATGTTTACTTTAACTTTAATATGAATAACCACATGTGACTAGTGGCTATTCTATAGGGCAACACTGATCTGTGCCATAAAATTCAGCACCTAACTATGCTGTTTATTATTTGCTGTTATGCCTTCTTTGAGTTCAACAACTCTGGTTTATACATTTTTTTACTTTTCAATAATGTCTTATCTATAGAAAAATATGCTTGATTATACTCTCTATGCAGAACACTAAAGTTTGAAAGGATTTCAGACATATCTGATTTATATGCTGGCACACCTCAAATCTCTTCTGCTCTATCTTCTATATTAGCATTTGATAAACTAGCTCTGTGGATCTGGAACTTACTGAACAGGATAGACACTAAAACATACTAAGACTCTGGAATCATAACATTATTATTTT